TACGGTGATCACAAATAACTAATGTTAGTATGACTCTTTCATTATTTTGTTAATCTCCAAGCTATACAAAAAAATGTAAATATTAATATATCTCTCAGTTTTCATAAAACAAATAGGGCATATTTTGTTTTATAATTAAATAAAACAATTTTGCCTACTATAAAATTTAGAACGTTTTAAACTACACTTAAGACGAATATTCAGCATATTAATGCGGAATGTCGACATGAGTTGAAAACTTGAAATATGTATATCGCGGCAACGGAAAGCCCGCAGAAAAGGCTTGGAGTTGGTAAGAACGAACAAGAAATAAGGAGACGGTTTCAATTCAAAAAGTCAGAGCAACTGCAGACGCGCTGAGAAAGAGAAATCTTGTCTCGTAACCGGTGTGTCTCCTTTGATGGGAAATCCGTGAAAAGTCGAGATTGAATTATCCTACCGTCGTCGCGGGGATAGAAGCGGACGTAGAGAGCAAAACGAGAGAAAAAGAATCACGGACGAGTACAGAAAGATATAGCGCGCGCGTGCGAGAGAAAGAAGAGAGATAGAGAAGAAAAAGAGATAAAGAACGAAAGCGACGAGTGAGAGAAAGAGAGAGAGAGAGAGGAAGAGGAGGAAGGGGGAAATGAGAGAAAATAAAATATACGCCGGCCATTGGCGCGACTTCGTTTCGTACATTTTATTTGAGCCAATTGGATTTATTTATGCGGGTGGCCCAGGGTTGGGAGATGCACGAGAGAGGCTGTACGAGGCGGAATGGCGCACGACCGGTAAAGGAGTTTCCCTCTTTTTCCCACTTTGCCACCCCACCACGCCCTTTCGCTGTCCGGGACTCCGCACTTTATTGTATATTTAATTCCTTGTTGTTTATCTCCGTCCCGCGCGTTCTACGCGCCGTATCTCGTGCAGATTTAAACAGATATTCAGCGGCAGCAGGGTGCTGTGTAGAATCGAGAGAGACGGCAGGAAAGAACGCGAGAAAGAAAGCGAGATGAGAATAGGAGAAAACAGGAACAATAAAATGTTACCAAAAGGACATATTATTGCTCTTTAAATTTTGCTTCTTTATCTTCTACCTTCTAGAAGCTACGTAGTCTCGGATTTTCGTACGACTTGCAACTAACGGAACAAACCAGATGAGTAAAATTGACGAGTATCTTTGAAAACGTCACATATCACGAAATTATCAAAAATCGAGTTTAGAATATCTGTTTTTTAACACACATACTTGTACAAAAAGTAGCATTTTATTTAAAACCTGTTTCCACAGAGTGACAATATCACGGCAGGTGTGTGTAAATACGTATTGGACAAAAACACATACCTACCATATACAATATTACCAAGAATATTCTGTGGTTGTACAACTAGATCAATCCAATAAATTGTCTAGCGGAATTGGTAGTCAGTATAGATATATACATGCAGGATATAGGTTGCATCCGCGCTTTTGAAACTATGAGTGTCAATTTAGCTCGAATGAATCTCACGCATAGTTAAACACAATATATATTTGCTTATATGTAACAAACTGTAATACTCAAATTGCATACTTTTTTTTTCTCTCTCTCTCTCTCTCTTTCTGTCTATTTTGTTTACAAATATAAAATCCCAATATTACATACTCACGAATTGTATTCCATCAAGCTTTCTTTAAAATATTTTGATTTTTTTTAATGATTTTACGTGAAGCAAAAGTCAATGACGATAATTTCCAAAGAAAGAAACGCGTCCGTAAAAAAGTAAAAGACTTAGGAGCTTACTTCCGGTTCGTTTAATCGTGCTACTATCCGCCACTGCATTCTCACGCTCATCTACATGCACGGGGTATACATCAATATTCGAGGCGGCCGGAAAAAGGACCCCGTTTTGCATAACGGACCCCCCGCTCGTGTCATTTCTCCTTTCGCAGGGATCCCAGTGGGACATCGCGTGGCAGATCCTGAGAAAGGAGTAGCGTAAAATACGCGCTCCGTGGGTCACCCGTCCAAGTCTACGTGTCGATGAATCTAAACGTCGTCGTTGACGCTCTTAAGAATTGTAATGCGAAGCGGTTTGTAAAACATGCCAAATAGAGCATAAACGCGTTCGATCAGACTTTCGGACTACTCGTCGTTAAAGAATTTTGCTATATTCGTCGTAATTGTATTACACGTGTGACAAAACGTTTCTTAACTCGTGTAAACAAAAAAAATCGAAATAAATCTTTAGAAATGTCTGTGTTTCAAAGATATGAAATTATAGATAATTTCAAATAAAAAGAATAATGGAATTGATAAGAAATAAATTTTAATCGTGAACGCAGGCTATTGCGATTTTCTCACAAGAAATTGACTCCATTGCATTCAGCTTCTTTTGTGTGTGCGTGCGCGTATATAGCATATTATGTTTTACAAAAGATCGCGCAGACTATGACGCGAGAGCGCGGTGTACGTATGTAACCCGGAGGAAGAAATGTGGGTTGCGTAAAATTTAAATAATTCAGGAATGACCCTGACCCTGGTTAGGCCGCGGGGTGACCCGCAACCTGCGATTACAATCACAATGCACCGTCGAGTTCTCAGGGTAAGACAGGTAGCGCCCGTCTGACCTGCATACATTAAATCGAAATCATCAGGTCTGCGTCTATATATGTATAATCCAAACACGTAAATGCAAAAAAAAGAAAGAAGAAGCATATAGCCAAGCAAACTACAGCATTTCTATGAATGACCGATCTTTCTACGCACACGTACACAAACTCGTCAAAGTTATGATATTACTCAAATATCTTTATTTCCACTTCCACTTAAAGATAATAACTTTTGCTTAAAGAAAATAACGGAAAAAACTATGTTAACAAAAGAACGATTGAAAAAAAGTAAAAAGTTCACTTTTTTGAAGCAAAAGCATTTAAAACGAATATTATAGACTTCGAAATAAATTCAGGATGCAATGATGACATAACCAGTTGCATCGTTCTCTTGCGTTGCGTCATTGTCATCATGCTTGAATGCAGAAACTGGATTTATCCGACACGGTACGCATAATCCAAGAAGTAACGAGTATTTAACCAGCGCGCATTTAAATGTCCGATAATCCGCAACATTAACATAACTGTGAGCAATTTCGAATATCAATGCTTGAGAGTACGTTCTGCGCTCAGGAATACACCGATCGGCAATGAATCGGTTCTCCCTTCTACATGCATCGCTTATTTTGACCGTTGGCACCGTCAAGATCTGCAGCGACTCAAAGAGAACAATGTACGTATAAAAATGGAACTTGCTTCTTTTCTCGCGGAACCGATTCATTGCCAGTTAATATACACATCGCAAGATTGAGTCGAGATTTCACGGTAAGAAGCTGAATCGTTTGGCATTTGAAATTAATAGTTTCAAATGCGTGTAAATAATAATTCTGAAATGATACGCGAATTGTAAAGCGCAAATTTATAAAGAAATTTAAATCAGCTGGACGAGGGGAAATCTTTAAAATATTTTTGATAATTTTGATAGAGAGATAATACATATACTATATATATACTATATATAAATGTTCATGTGTATATATATATATATATATATATATATATATACACACACACACACTTATATACAGTGCGTATGTTTATCTATTATCACAAATCTGTTAATAATTTATTTATGAATTCAAATGACATACTGTTGCACTCTAATGGCGATGCAATTAACATTTCCATTTCGCCAGCAAAATTGGTTATTCCACATTCAACGCATGATGTTAGTTACCATAATCCGGTAATTAAGTAAATACAGCTACAAACGCGACTAGCGCTATTCACGAAATTCAGCTGATTTAACAATTATAATATACACATCGCAGCAAATCATATTTCATTTGTAAAAATGCAAATTCACGAAGTACGTAGTCCGGCGAAAATTAACAATTTATTGTTATTCGGGAAAGACAGTAATAGCAAAAAAAATTTAAACAATTTATGTAAGTATCATTTATGATAGTAAAACTCAATAACATGAGCACCTTGAGATTCAATTTGTTATTGAATTTAGATCGGGAGATAATCTCTGAGACTGTTCCATGCATCGTTTGGTTTAATAGCAGAGAAAATTTGTCCGCGGTTACTGTCGGATGAGTATAAATCTGGATTATCGTTTATCAACATCACCGTCATTTTGCACATTACGAGCAATCTGGGAAATCATAAAATGTCTGGAAACATTTCGAATCAATGACCACGTCTTTGTAAGCAACGACGACTATAGGAATACTAACATCGGCCATGCATTAAAAATGTGTATTTACACAAACCAGATTTACAATTTTTTTTTTTGACGTTTTATAATTTAAATAACAAATAATCCCACGTCTATGTCTAAAATTTCCAGAGATTAGTAACGTAACAATTCGAGTTAACCGCGTATCTCGTTTTGATTTGAATTGAATCTGAAATATGTTATTTCGTCAAATAATAATATGTTATTCACGAAACGCTAATAGAGCGCGCGATCGAAATTTATTAACGAGCGGTGGCGCGGTCGGGGCCGGAATTAGCGTTCTCGATGCTCGGAACTAAACAGCCGAAGGGTTGCAAACTGGTATGCAGATGAGCCGAAGTGGTCGACCCCGGAGGCGGATGTTGGCAGTCTGCAGCTACGTAGACAATAGGACAGTGCCATTATGTCCGTCGAATCCTAAAACCCCCATAAAGTCGTTCTTCTCTGTCTATTATTCCGCCGGTGGCAGGCCACATTGTGTATCCGGCTTGCCACGGGACCTCCAACCATTGTCGGTCCATCTAATTATTCGCAAATCTTCCGCTTGTTGTCGGTAGCTCTCATCCTCTCTTCTCCCTTAACTCGCTAAAATTTCATCGCTTCTAAAGCCACTCGGAGTTCGATCGTGATTTGCGTCGTCGTATTTTGATACTTTCTCGCAAAATCCAATGTGTGTTCAACGACCGAATGTATTTTTCATTTGTTTAGTTTTGTGTTTACTAATAATTTAAAACTTAAACTTACCTCAGGATCGTTCGATTCCGCCTTTTCGTATGTAAAGAGAGGAGCCAGCTTGTCGTAGAGATTTACGCGCTCGTGAAGATCTTTGAATGGGTTTTTGGTACTGAAAAAGTCGAGATCGATGTCTAAGATATAGGGAATATCTTTCTCAGGGAGATATTGGCGCAGCATCGAGCTGACGGCGGTGAAGTCATCCTTCTGCAACATAAATATCAAACGTAATGCATATTATTAATATCACTTTAGCGCTTGTTTATATTTTACGTAACATATTTACAGCATCTTAAATATGTCTCCGTGCTCAAATATTTTCGCAAACGTAGTACATCTCTGTAATTTTAATTATTGTGTTTTCAATTACCAACAAATAAGCTACGAATTAAAATATTTTCAATTGCAATTGTAATAATTTGCGTACGTGTATATAAAAGTGAGTGAGTTGAGAATGTGCGTATATGTGTGTGTGTGTGCAGTCTTAGAAAGGTGAGATATTCATTGTATTTTTCATCGTCGACACAGTCACAGTGCCATTTGTTACTGAGAGCGAGGTTATTCATTGAAAGTTATCGTGTGGCAAAACAACTCGCTCGGTTTCTGCGAAATTGCAGCGACGGACGTTGCAGTACTTTCTACAATTCTTTTTTTTGTTCGCTTTTTTCGCGCGCTGACATCGGTAGCGCGAGAAACATTAACGATAATTATCAATAAAACGATCGATTGACGACGTTGTATCGAGTCCGCGATCCAATTGCGGTTCAATTTTGCAAACGAGATCTCGCCATCATAGAGAGAGAGAGAGAAAGAGAAGACAAACGGGGGAGGCCGAACAAACGTCGAGGAGAGAGATCGGCGACGTGCGCGTAACCGTTCATATGAACTGGATATTGTTCCGTGCACCGGGACAAAACGCGATGTTGCCCGCGCGTATAGAGGATTTTTTGTGACGCGCAAAAAACAATGACTGCACTCGAATTAATTCTGTTAGAATTGATACTCGGTCCCGACCAGAGAGAGAGAGAGGGGGGAGGAGATCGCAATTTGCATACGTTCACAACAATGAAATACAACGGTGTGCACGCGGGGTGAGCTGTAATACTAGGAGAGGTGAAGAGAACGAGAGAGAGAGAGAGAGAGAGAGAGAGAAAAGCAAATCCAACAATCATCATGAAACCGCAGTGGTTCTCATCGTTTTTTTTTTGTTTCGAGAAGACTATTTTTTCGACCAAATTATACATCGGATGCAATTAAGTGAATTTGAATTTAATATTTACGGACTTCACGATTTTTACAATATCTCGTGAAAAATGATAAAGCAAGAAGTGTGTGTTACTTTTTTCTGTACATACGTATAAAAATGTGTAATATTTGAACCGAGTGAGAAACTTTTGTGGCAATTTTCTTTTTGTACAAATTGTTTTGCAAATTGTGAAACGGAGGAAAGACGTATGTAGATAATTGCCACAGGTGCGCACGTAAGTATCAGTAATAATTATCAGAGGAATTTCCCCGTATCATATATTGTTTTCGAATAACTTGTAATAATTTTTTCCTCCTTAATGCCCCGTAGGCACACATTAGCATTTAAAACTTCTCTCATATAAGTTCTCGCATTACACGACACGCGCGTGACACGTATGCAAATCGCATATGTGCGTTTAGAACTTTCCACTCTCAATACGGTGATTAATATTTGCAAACGAAACGTTTTATTATCACGCCACCAATATTGCATTCTCGCGATGGTATAACCTCTGATTGAATAATTCAACATGTCAAGTATAATGTTTCTCGTCGACAGACATTATTTTTCTGATTATAATATTTAGATATTTATAGAGTTCTCTCCGATATCATCGAACAAAAATTGCAGTGTTGTTTTTTTTCTTTACTGCGGCGAATTTCCTTTGTTATATAACGCACGCATAAAAGAGAGGGTAAGTGTAGAGCATAAGTATTCCACTCTTCGCAATTGTAGTTTACAATATATGGAAGTGCACAAATGCGAAATGTCATTGCCGGCTAAATTTAAATCGCTCGAGTGCGAAAGTCGGACGTTGCACTCGGCGCAAGTGTAATAACGCGGTAATCTGTCGACTTCGATTTCAGCGGATATTTTCGTGCCGCGTGAATTCGATAAAATTAGCACACGATTGCGGAATAGCGCGGAACTCACAAGAATTATACTACAATTGCTTACAATGTTTTTTTTTTTTAATTTAAATAAACTTTATTAATTTTTACTTATGCATTGGGTTACGTATAGGGTACATCGCGTTTTGTGTACAGAATTTGCATTCCATTATTTTGACATTTCTATCACGCGTTTGCGATTTTTGCAATTTGCAAGAATTATAGAAACATATTTTCACGTCTTCCTGACAATGCAAATCTTAACAAGCGTTTTACACGTGTCTCCAAGAGCAATTAATTGAAAGGGTTCGCGTTTGTAGACAAATGTGCCTGAACAAACGAATACGTGGCCGCTCACAAAAGGATTGCGTTGTCATGTGTGCGTGTACCGCGTCAGAGATCGCATCGGTCACACCACTGTCGCGGCCGCAATTAAGGCGAGCAGTGCCATATGCAAATGGTCGCATTGTCTTGACCCAAAGTAACGCGTTCTCTTAGCTGACTCATTGTGATTTCACGGACAGTTATAAGAGTGCACAGAACCACAAAAATCAAATCACAGCTCCCTTATATTTCCACCGGGTGCGCAATACACGCGCGTAAACGCCGAACAAAATTTTTCTTCAATCCGATGGCTTAAAATAAAACCAAAATAATATTTGATTGTTGTTTTCTGATCCGCTGCTTCGCAGTTGTTTTTTTTTTTTATTTATATAATTTGTATTGTATCAATACAAAGCCGAGCAATTCTTCAAAGCAACTTTATTTATTAAAAACGGCATCGCGGCGCGTTCTATTCATGCGTTTATGCCATCGCGCGCCGATAATGAATTAATACGCGTTTACGCAACGTGTCGTGGGCGGCGCCCACGCTCGTGACTCGATGACGCGCTCATTCCCATTGAATTAGCAGTAGGATTTCCGACGCTCTTTCACCCTCACAGCCAAGCGCTAGCCCGTCGTCGTCTTTCAATCGCAAATCCACCCGCGTTACATCCACGACACGCAATCAACGGCACCGCGTGAGCTCGAGATACGTGTGTGTACGTTGCGCTCTCGGCCGGGTGTCGATTCTGATGCATTGTTCTTGCACAAGGTGAATTAGTCTCGCGTGCCGGTCCGACGGCGCGGGGCGAGCAGAGACGGCGCGCGTTAATTAAAACAATACCCCCCGTCGACGCGCACACGGCAATTCGAATTTCGCGCATATGTCAAATCTTTGCTCCCTCTGCGCATGTACACGCCACGATTTCCGTTACGTGTAAATTAAACTACATCTCAAAATCTCGAAATGCAAACGCGAATACCTGACCCGATCGCGGGACAGGTGCACAACTCAATCAATTTTTGTCAAATGTTACACGGAATTGGCAAAGCACGCGAATTATCAAGTGCAAAATCTCAAAAGCGGAACGCCCATAAATCCTTCGATCAGGCAAATGGAAAGTAGATACAAGTCCGTGAGTCCATTTCTTGTACGTATCGCGGCCTCTCTTACAACGTCCCACGTCCGAAGATGATGTATCTTCCTGCCTACGTAAGAAGCCGCCACACGGAAATCTTGCTGCACGCCTGAAACGCCGTCGGTGTTCCTAAAAGACGTCAAGCCTTTACCCTCTCTTCGATCAACGTCGCACGGCACGTTCGGCCACGTAGAAGAGGCCGGACGAACGACGACGAGTTGTCACGACGAGTCAGCACGTTTTGTAGGAGGGCTCCGTGTGGATGGGGCCTTTGGTGCTCAGTATGCAAGCTCGGTGGTGGCCGCATCCGGTAGGTACGCGCTCGCGCGCGCAAGCTCGGAAACTCACGTTGCATTATGTATCCGTCTGTCGATACCAGGCACCACGCGCCAGCGCGGTGATAAGAATAGAATAATAGAATTTTCTATGAACCTCCTGTCGCGCCGAGGCAGTGTAGAGGGGAAGAGAGAAGACGCAAATGTAAAAAGAACAAAATATTGTAGCGCTCTCTCTCTCTCTCTCTCTCTCTCTCTCTCTTTCTCTCTCTTTCCGGTTGCCTGACGAGCAACGACAGGCCACGTTTCCCGCTGCGTCTCACGTGTATCTCGTCGGTGGATCTCGCCTCGTATGCTTTTCCTGATCGATATCGACGTTGAAATACCGTTAAAGTGCCACCGTCGTCGGAGCTTTTTTAGAGAAACAGATTCTGTTATGTTCCATTTCCTTTTATCGTTTTCTTGAGAAATGATAAGCGGATCGTGTGGAAAAGACAAGTCTTCTCTTTCGGAAAAAGAGAAGGAATACTTCTTGATAAACAAAAAATCTGAATTTTGTTTCTAATTCTTGTAGATTGTGACATAAAATATATTTAGAAAAATTTACACACGAGAATGCGCAACCCTATCTTTCCGCAGTTGTCGCTAATTCAACGTCAGAGTCACATAACGCGACAACCTTTCTCGCTCTCTTTTTCTTTCTTTCTCGGCCTTGTTTGAAATAAATTACGTCTAGATAAGTTTTGCTCCCATATTTGCGTGTGTACGCTACTGAACTATACTATCTTAACGCTACTGCGGTTCTACTGCTGGTAATTGTCGGCCAATTACCGTAGCGCTGACGTATTTAGTCGCATGCGAAAAGAGCCGTCCATTGTTTTGCTCCCCGTCTCGGTACCCGCGCTCCTAATTATGTATAATGTCCGCCGGGAAATCGCCGGCGATACATCCGCGAACGTGCGCCTCGTCCCATTGTTTGCGCGAGCAATCGACGGCCCCTTTCCCTGAGAGAGTGAAACTGTAAAAGCCACTGGAAAATCTAGGAAACGACCGCTTGTTAAAATTCAATTTTCTACGTGACCGTTCGTAAGTAGCTACGTTAATGGTACATACATTAACGCGGCAGCATAAAGTTTCCATGCATTTTAGTAAACTTCGGCACATTAATAGAAAGAGACTTCTTTATCCGCGGCATTCACGTTTTTTACGACATATTTATACTTTGATAAGAAAAAACAACATAAATTTTTTTGGCTTGTTTTTTTTTAAACATCTATTTCCTATATTTTTTCACGTGTTTTTTCTTCTTTCATCGATGTATAACAGATAT